TTATGTAATTTTTTAGATGAAAAATAATGGCAATTTGAGGATGAAAATTATGATATTTTTAGGAAAATATGTCATTTCTAATAACAAGTAGTTATGTCATTCTCATATAAGCCATAAAAAATGCCATAAGAATGACATTTTCTTATGGGCATATGACATTTTCTTATTGTCATCCTAATAAAAGATATTGTCACAAATGTGGCAGTTTTTTAAATAACCAATAATTTTGAAATTCTTAGATTCTCAGGTTGGAAAAGTGACATTTCTCAAAGCAACAATAAAAACCAGCCATTTTAAGATTCAATTGATAAAAAAAAATAAGTTGAATGTTTTAATACAAATTAATCATAATCAATCTAAAATTGAAAATCAAAAGAAGAGAATAAGAACAGAGGAGCTGAGCATGTCTTGATGGAAGAAGCGACCAAGAAGAAAACAGAAGAACAAAAAACAAGAGAAGAAGAAGAATAGGAATAAGAAAGAGGAGGAGGAGAAGGAAAAGGAAAAGATGGTTATCTGACTTCATCGGAGAATTGCAGATAACTTCATCGAAGTGTGCAGAAGGATGAGTGCAGTGGCTTGATCGATGAATCAGCGGTGCGAACATACTAGTTGAGATCATTAAGGGTAGTTTTGTCAGATTAACCCTTTTTAGTCCTATTTTTGTTCAATATAACATAGTAGTCATATTTTTGCAATTCTACTTTCTTTTAGTCTTATTTTGGAAATTCTTTCATCTCTTTAATTAATCGACCAAGCAAAATATTGTGAATGAAATACTAGTAAATATAAACAAAGTTTGATAGGTAAAATGTTGGTAGTCCAATTTTTTATTTTCATTAAATGTTATCAATTACCACAATCTTGACAATGCCCCAAAAACTAGTAACTTGCTTGCCTAGTTTGTTCCATATGTAATGTACTACAACTACATAAACAAATTCATGTGGAATCCATACACATTCATCAATTTCATTACAACACTTTTTATAATTAGTATATGGCATACTAATCATGGTTTGGGACGTTACTATTATTCATAATATTGTATTACCCACTTTATTCCTTTTGTTTGTGTGGTACGTTATGCGGAGAAAGTCTGACGCATCGCCATTTAACAACATGTACAAAAAGACTCCACCTGAGGCTGACGGAGCACAACCCATACTTGGCCACCTCAATCTACTCGGCAGCGGAGATATTCCTTTATGCCGGAAACTTGGTGTGTTGGCTGATAAACACGGCTCCATCTTCACCCTCCGACTAGGGATTATACCAAAGAATCGTGGTGGTTAACAGCTGGGGAAGGTGTCAAGGATTGTTTCACCACCAATGACAAAGTCACGGCTGCTCGGCCGACTTCACGGTCGGGAAATACCTCGGCTACAATAACGCTGTCTTCAGCCTCCACACCTCCAGCCCGTATTGGCGCAAAATGCGTAAGTTTGCTGTCACAGAGCTACTTTCATCGCAAAAGCTCGAGAAACTAAAGCATCTACGCGTGTCTGAGGTGCATACCAGCCTCGGAGAGTTGTACCTGCTAGTAACTAGCTCTCCGACAGGAAAAACCAAAACAGTAGACATGAATGATTGGCTTCGACAGCTAACATTAAACTTGATCTTAACGGTTGTCGCCGGGGGAAGCGGTTCAAGTTTTAAGATCAGTGAAGATGATGAATGCACGGAGTTTAAAAAGGCACTTCATATCATTGAGGTGTTCAAGGAATTTATGTACCTCATAGGTCAGTGTTTGTACGGAGACGCTTTTCCCATTCTGGATCGTAAGGTTTGTGGAGTTGAAGCGCCCCGTGGTTAAATGCATGGGGAGGGATCATGAAAGAGTTGGATTCCATTCTTCAAAGCTAGTTAAACGAACACGTCAAACATAGACGACAACGATCAACGACAGTTGAATTCGGGAATAACAATAATCAAGATTTCATTGATGTCATGCTTTCTTTGATTGATGACGACTTCTCTCGGGGGCTCATTTATCCTCATGAAACCATTATAAAGGCAACTGCATTGGTATGTGTATAGTCTCTTTACTATAGTCTTGTGACTTATCATTACGAAAAGTAAATTCATATTTGGAACTATATGAAAAATTAAAGTTGCTATTACCATCCTTTTTAAATAAGTGCAACATGTTGAATTTTACATTATTCACATGATTTACATTGACTACACTTAATTTATTAAAATATTTTTTTAAACAATATTGTTAAATTTTTCTCGTTGTATATTTACAAAATCATTTTTTCAAATTTTCACTAATATATATATATATATATGGTGCAGTTCTAATGAGAACGATGTTTAACGTGAGAACACTCACATTTAAATCAATGTGGTGCACCATGGAACTATTTTGTGGCCACATTGTGAAAAAGTGTAATATACAAGCTTCATTGTGCAACACGTTGGGGGTAAAATGTGTTGTTCTCACGTTCTCACGTTAAGCACTGTTCTCATTTGATCTTTATTCTCTATATATATATATATATATATATATATATATATATATATATATATATATATATATATATATATTATATATATATATATATATATATTGGTTCAAATAAGAACATACTCTTAGGAGAGAAATGAGAACGACTCTAGACCGTTAGATTTGCTTTAAATGAAATTCAATGTGCATTAGATCAAACTGTAATGTGCATTAGGTGAAATATAAATGTGCAGTACAAATGGTATGATACAATGACACTATGTGAAGCTAAATTGTGCATTAGGTGAAATTGAATTGTGCACCAAGGTAAAACTGAAATGTGCAGAATAAAAAGTACGGTGTGGAGTTATTTTGTACCTTTTATTCCACACATTTCAATTTCACATAATGCACACTTGAGTTTAAATTTCTATTCTTCACATTTGAATATCATCGAATGCACATTGCTGTTTCATCAAATGCACATTTCATTTTTACATAATACAATCCAACGGTCCAGATTCGTTTTTTATTTCTCTCCTGGCAGTCCGTTCTTACCGGAATCGCTCCCTATTAATTGTCAATGTTGTGCATCGACAAACGTGAATATAGGATTGTTGCACTTATTTAAGAACTAAGGCAGTATTAAGTTATTAATATAAACTTCTTTCCACGTCGCATGTTCATGTATAGAGTATGATCATCAACGGGGTCTGATACAACAGCGATGCACTTGACCTGGTTGATGTCATTAGTAGTGAATCACGCTAACGTAATGGAGCGCTTACGAGATGAAATAGATTCAAAAGTCGGGAAAGATAGATGGGTGGAAGATGCCGATATTAAAGATTTCCATTACCTCCACGCGTAGTGAAAGAGACATTGCGGCTATACCCACCGTTGCCGACTTACACTCCTCATGTTGCGGTAGAGGATTGCAAGGTTGGTGGTTATGACATTCCCAAAGGCACACATTTGTATGTGAATGCCTGGAAAGTGCACCGTGATCCACGAATCTGGTCGGAACCCCGATAAGTTCCGACCAGAGAGATTCTTGGTCGATGCGACGGGGCCGGAAACGCCTCCTCCATGGAAAAATTTTGAGTACATTCCATTTGGCAGTGGGAGACGGTCTTGTATTGGCAATACCTATGCAATGCAAAGTTACGTATCTTATTATTGCCCGTTTTATCCAAGGATTCAATTTGGAGACACCTTCAAATGAACGGTTGGATATGAGTGAAGGTTTGGGGATTACTTTGCCACGGGCTACCCCATTAGATGTGGTCATCACCCCTCGCCTACCCCCAAGCTTTTATTTTGACTCTACTTAATCACTTAATTTCCTTTTGTAAATAAATATAAACAACTCCTCACAGCCACATTTAATTATGCAATGTTATTCTTGTTTCCCAAATGAAATAAGCTTGAAATCTAGTTGGTCTAAGATGTATGTATGTTTTCGAAAAATAACGGCGAGTAAAAATTTGGTCCCTTAAATTTGGGGAAAGCTAGCTATTTGGGCTAAAATTAGGTATAGTCTTTCAGCCCAAAGAGGCTTAGACTATTCAGAGGGTTACATGTATGTGTACCTAAAATACTGGGGAACAAACAGAGTGATGTCATGCCAATGTGTGATGATGTCAATCCGGGTAACAGACTGATAATGTCACAGGTAATTCAAGCCCTTCTAGAAATTGGGATCGTGACGCCGACGGGAGGTTGAGTGACGCAAGCCTCGGATGCATGAATTTTTGGAAACGACTAAGTGTCAAACTCTCACCGCACCGAGGTGAATCAAGTCGCCTCGGCCTCTTCCAATCTCGTAAGCAAAATATCCATAGTAGCTGTCACCGGGCTAGGGCTCGGGCTCGAGCTCACTGGAGCGCCTCCTCCTGGTGTGTATTATAACCCTGCCAACCCGTAGTTATTGGTGATGTGGCCTCGGTCTCATCAACCAATACTTGGGCTACTGTCGTGGACCTTCAAATCTGATTCCCCTTGGCTTATACTCCATCAACAAATATGACCAAAGAAAAAAGACAATGGGAATATTTATGGTTAGATTTTACAATGTTCTTGATAAATGTTTGGGTAATCTAAGCGCTACAAAATTTAATAAATGCAAAATTTCATTGTTAAACCATCATAGTTATAATACAAAATGAGGAACATAAACACAGATAAGAGGGGAAATTGACCTAAATACGATTAAACAGGTTTTAAAATTCCAAAATAGGATTGCTATGTTTTTCATCCCGAAATGTGAATCGTTACTGCCATGATTTAAAAAATGTCATCAATGGTAATAAATATTGTCATGTTAATGTTTGGTACTGCAACTTTTTTGGTTGTAATAACTCCAAAGTGACAGTGAATATTGTCATGTTACTCATGTTTGGAAAATAAAAACATGAGTTCTATTTTAGAATTTCCAAAACCTCTTTACTCCTACTTCGAATTTTTTTCCTAAATAAGAGTAATTGATCATATCAAGCTACTATTGTTACTAAATAAGAATTAAAAATGGATTTAATAACATCAGGCAACATTATAAGAACTAGTGATATAAATTGAGTATTGTACATGAATTGCATGAATGGACATCGTGCAGTTCTCAAATTCTCATCAGTACTGTATGAAAATTAGTGAACCATAAGATATAGAGCCCGGTTTGGTAGCACAAAAACCGGCTGATTTGGCTGATTCTGCTGAAATTTAGGAAGTTCTGGCTGAAGTGGCTGCATTGGCTGAATTACTTTTAAAATATATTTTATTAATAAAATAAAGAAAAAATTATATGTAAAATAGCTAAAATGGTCATCTACAGTAGCTTCAGCCAACACAGCCAGAAAAGTAACTTCAACCTTACTTTTTCTGCTTAATACACATTTCAGCGTGCAAAAGCAAAAATTACGTGTTTGGTGAAAAAATTGGCTGATAAGCCTGATAAGCCGAAAAACAGTGATTCCAAACGGCCTCATAGTGTAATACATTTTTTCAGAGAGTAATACTTGTAGTTAATAAATTTCAAAAAGACATGGTTTTACTTTGGCATGACATTTCAGAAACTGAATAAACCTAAATCAAACTGGAATCAAGAAAAACTGAACCGTACACCGCGAGTTACATCATTGGGGTACTAGAATCATTGGTGACATGTCGGCCACGAGAGCGCAAAAGTCACTGGGCGGGTGAGTTCTTATATTGTGTATTTTTACTTAAAACAACATAATGGCTTTTGATTAAGCATCAACTCACTGAAAAGAAGTTTATAATTTTCTACAAAATGACACATTTGTTGGTGAACTTATTTGGTACTTCATTTTTTTATTTGGTACTTCATTTTCTACGGTTTTTATAAGAAAATCACTATTAAAAATATCCTAGTTCAAATGTTACTTGTTTGTCTAACTTAAATGACAAAAGGCATTTTTTCTTCACACACACATGCACGCACACATTGTATAATTTTTGTTTAGTATACTAAAATATTTCCAACGTTGTGTAGTTTCATAAAATGCAATTCAATGTGTTCACTTGATCATTTCAGTTACATTTATCTTATTTTATTTTACAAATACTAGTTTAATGGTCAATAATAGTATCTTGGTAAAATATGCGGCCATCTTCCTATTGATTAGGGTTTGAGCTTTTGCGGACGTCTGGCGATCGGCCGTCTTCTTCGGCGAGTAGAGTACGAGACCGTCTCGTTTTTGTTATTGTTCTCTTTTTGAAGTGCGGGTGAGCAGTGCCGATCCTACGTAAAGTTGTACCTGAGTCGAACTTAAATAAAGGCCCTTATCAACATGACTTTTTCGGTGGTATATTTTTCTAATTAAAAGAATTTGCACCACAAGTAATATTAAGTACGGGGTAACTAAATGAACTTCGTACAATATAATATAAAAACTGAATATTAGAACACAATTTAAATAACAAAGCTATCATACTGTATTTAAAACCAATGTGCTAGATACTGCGTATATAAGTCTTATTTGTAAATTAGAGAAGAACTCAATCTTATTTGTGTTTTCTTCTTTTTAACTGACTCAGATGCAAATCATGCAAGTGCTCAAATGTTATTGAATTAGAAAGTAAATGTTATTGAATTAGAAAGTATGTGTTGTGAGCTATTCAATTAGAAAGTATATGTTTCAATTAATTCAACACAAGACAAAGTATATGTTGCAAATTTTGCAATTAATTCAACACAATACTTGTTGGTGTAAATCGATCCAAATTCACACAAAAAGAATAAAAATGAAAAATGAATGAAGAATTAAGAATGAGCGGAAATCACGACTCTTCTAATTAATCTAAGTCAACATTCGTGTATTCATCTCCTCTTCCTCACACAATAAATGGTCTTTAAAACTTTTTATAAAGCAAGTTTTAACAAAAAATTCAATAATTAAAACTCGAAATTTAAGTAGAAGAAGAAAAAAAACATGATAGCACTTAACTAACAAGTTAGCTCTTTTAAATTTACAAACCAACAACTCAATAATTGAAAAACATTTGTGTATATATTTATATATAGGTTTTTAAAAAAAATTGGGCCCCTAATTTTTTTACATTTTGTGGGACCTTGAGGCCTATGCCTCATTGGCCTCAACATTAGGCACGGCCCTGCGGGTGAGCATATTCCGCTACAGACTGAAAAATCGGAGAGGTAGGTCTAGACCAGACCCGAACAGGTCAAATACCGTTTTGGTCTTCAATCCAAGCATTTTGAAGTTTCCTATTCTGGTCCGATTCGGCCCAAACCTCGAATATTTAGATCCGGACCGGTTGGACCATAATTAATTAAAGGCGAAATTGACATAAACAATCCCTACTTTTATGCATTTTACAAAAATAATCCCTACCGGAAAAGTTTACAACAATAATCCGAACTACTTAACTCTTTCACAGAAATAAACCGGAGTTAACGGTGTTAACTTTTCCGTTAGTTTTTTATTGCATTTTAAATATAATGAAGCAAAAATATGTACAAACACCAACATTATTATATACTTCGTATATTTGTCCTTATATTTACTTTTATTATGAATTAAATTTAATAGTCATTATTTTTCATAAAATGTAATAGAAATATTTAAGAACGCACTCATCAAATTCTCATTTTTCTTTTAGTTCTAATCAGTTTTTATTTATATTCATTTTTATTTCATTGTATAAGAGATTTAAAATTAGTTTTAGTAATTCTTTACGAAGTACTACGTATTAAACATTACCACGTACTAAAATGAATACAAGTCTGTGTTCAAATTTTTATTATATTTTACAAAAAATAGTTATTATTAAATTAAATTTATAGTAGAAATAAGACTAAACAAAAACATAATATTATTAATGTTTTTATATATATTTGCTTCATTTTATTTTAAATTTTAAAAAAAAAAAATTAACGGAAAAGTTACCACCGTTAACTTCCGGTTTATTTTTGTGAAACAATTATCCAGTTGGGATTATTGTTGTGAACTTTTTGAATAGGGATTATTTTTGTAAAATGTCTAAAAGTAGGGATTATTGGTGTCAATTTCGCCTTAATTAATTATTATTTTTAAATATATTTTCTATCTAAAATGTATTACGGAGTAGTGTGTAACAAATATTTAGAACTAAGTTGGATTTAGTTGTATTTGACTTTTTTTTTCAAGAAAATTTTACGTTTAAATAATTTATAGCCATCAAAGTTAACTTTTTTCTAAAAAACTATCTTTTTTAACTAAAAATCCAAATCCGGTCCGATACCGGTCTGGTCCGTCAAACCCATAATAGTCCGGTCTGATCCAATCCTGGGCCGAAATTATACAGGTCCAGCCTTCGGTCCATTAACTTTGGAAATTCCAATTCCGGTCCGGTCTTGGAAGGTATAATTCACTACCAATCATTTGTGACTATCCAATATAATTTAACTTTTTAAAAAACAGAGTAAAAATGATTTTTTTTGTCCAAAACTAACGTTCAAGTAATATTAAGATGTTTTAAACGAGTCTGAAACCGGTCTCCGACCATACAAGACATGATCAGACTCAAATAGATCAGATCAGACCAAACTTTGACGATTGTAAATACACATTAAACATACCGCCTACCAAGTCAGACCAAACCAAACTTAAACAGACAACATCAAATCAGATCAGATCAGATCAAACCAAATCGGACCACTTTTTGAATGTAAAGACCAGATCGATCAGTGGAAAAGCCCCTTATTATAATCAAAGTAGGAAAAAGACACAAGTCACCGATAGTTCTTTGGTAAAATTGAAAAGACTTGGTAGAGATTTATAATCTACTAGTAAATTAGTAATATACCCGTGCAATGCATCATACAATAATATATTTATATTATAACTATTTTAAATGAAAGCTAAATACAGATTTTTTTTTATTTGGAAGAAGGAGGCTTAAATTGATATGACAGTGAGTAAACGGACAAAAAGACCACAACCAACTACCAGCCCTCGAATCAGACTTAGAGTCGATCACGTTCAAAGAAGCAATATGACTCGATGATCCTGTAATGGGCATAAATAAGCCAAAGATGGTCAAAACATATCTCCCATCACCCAATCCTAATGCACAAGTCTTACAATACTAGAAATAAACAACGAAAATGTAAACAGTTTGATCAAGAAAAATAACAGTAATAAAGACAGTAAAATTAAAACTTTGTTTCGTCCTCAAGACCACGAGCGCCTTCCACGCTCCAGACCAACAAGTCTGCTTCAGGAATCTCGGCGGTTCAGAGGTGTGGGACCCGCTGCCTCCCCATTTTTTGGCTTGTCAAGAGCCATGCTATCACCATTTGGATCCTCTCGTTCCTCCTCCTGCCAGAGCCTCTTGCGTTTCTGGTCACCTGGCACATCCTCGGTAATCACTGAGTCTCCTTCCTTTGTTGTACCTTTTCCTTGGTCCGACGTAGTCACAATCCAGGTCCGTCCTCCTGCGCCCATGCACTCCGCCCTGAAGATCTTCTGCTGCTGCCCCACACCTATGTTTGAGGTGCCTTCAACTAGCCAATTGTTTCCCCACTGTAGGTCCAGTCTCTCCCCTCCCCCAACTCTAAGCTTCATCCCATAAGATTTTTCCAACACCATATTATCACTCCATATGTCAAAGGACAAACCTTATCGGCATGGCCAATGACTCCACATACAAAACAAAAGCCAGGTAGCTAAATACAGAATATTTAGAAGAAAAAAAATAGAAGAGTGAGAAAATGCACTAATTTAACAAAAAACAA